AGTGTCCCTAAAATGACAAGAAGTCATGCTGTGTCTAGTTTCAAGTCATGGATATTTGACAAGTCTTCCCGTATGTCATCTAGAATATCACCACTGCTTAACAAAATGCCCAGTGGATTTTTTTTCTTAAGAGGTTGATATGAGGAATGAACAGCTCTAAATATATTATAAGGTTCTGACATGTCCGAGGACTACAATTATTTTCTGTGATTAATCCTGTTTTTTTACTGACACGCCATGGGTATTTTGGAGGGAAATATTTCTGCTTTGAACGGGAGTTCAATATTCTCTGTTCTTTTTGTTATTAATTTTCAATGCAATTTATGACAGAAGCTAAGGATAAGGAGCTGGGGATGAGGAGCAGAGGTTTGAATCAAGATTTGCTTTCCTTGACAGACCGCTGGTACCAACTGTTTCCATGGTGAGCAGTCTCACTTATGTTTGAGGCCAGAGGACCTAGTTAGGCCAGGGTCCAAAGTTCATAGCCAATCGATTTCATTCTGAGAGTTATTTTAAAGGAATGTTAACCTTAGGATGCTTTACAAAAATAAAATCAAATGAAAAAATAAAGTCATTTATTAGGGGAGGAGGAGCAGGATATACTGGGATTCTGATATAAAGAAACAATATAATTTGAAACAGCTGCTTTTCATTCTCAGCCTTGCACAAGCCACCTCACTAAAGACAGATTTAGGCTAAACTCTTCATTTTATGGATAATAAAACTAAGTCCTCACAGATCCAAAGAACTCGGCCAAAGTCATTTAATGATTCTATACCATTTTCTGAATAATCTTACTGGAAAGAACATACTGTCTTTTTTGGAAATTTTTCATTTCTTCCACTTAATTCAGGTGATATGAACTTATTTGACTTCACAAAGAATAAGCTAAAAACTTCGATCAAAACATTTGAGTATGTTCAGATACGATAAAATATTTTGCCTATTATTCCACATATTACTACAATTTTATGAGAGTTTCTAAACACCTTGAATGTAGTTATATTTTACTTCTGTAGTTAGCAATTTGCAGACCGTTGTGAATTTTGGAAGCTACTAATTGTCTGAAGAAAAGAGAAATAACGTCACTGGGACACATTGGCACACTGAAGGCAAGAAAAAGCCCTTAATTGCTGTGACTTGGGAGCAAAAAGAGGGAAGCAAATGAACACGCAGTAGAGAATTTTTAAAAAGAGGCGTGTGAAGGTGTTAGAGAATGGAACACATTCAACTCCTATTTCTCTAAGTCTGTAATTACCACCTGGCCGAAAGAACAAGCAGTGATTCTCCATAATCTATCCGTTGCCATTAGCTGAAATAGCTCTTAAATACTTGACGTCAGCCTCTTCTTAGCCTAAAACAAATTGGGGAAGTATTTGTCTTCAATTTTGACTTCAACTGTCTATCATTACATCATAATTCTTAAACTTAGTACTGCTCAGAGGACAAAGACCAAGGATAAGTGGCCATGGCACCCCACCTGGGCCTGCTTTCTTTAAGGACGTCTTTCTTTCGAAAGTCCTTTGCTAGGACTGAAGGCATTCATTGCATCAGATGGCAGTGATCACTTTCTTCTTCCTCCCTTGCTCAGAAAAAGTTTCTTTCCTTCTCTAGGGCATGGGGATGACAATGGCCAAAGCTCTGGCCCAGGAAAGACCTTGTCACTTCCTTTTCTGCCTTCAAAAGATACTTTCTACAACTGACTGCAGAAGGTAGTTCAAAAGTGTACACTTTGCCTGCCACTCCATCCTACGAGTGGTCTACTCAAAAATAAATAACGATTAATACTTCTTCCTTTCCTAAGTAGAAAAGAAGCAACCTCCTACTTTCCCCAAAACCGAGGAATTCTGATTGACGCAACTAAACTGATTTTTCAACTATAACATTCTGATTCTCAGCACACTATGGATATATAACCAGCAACCAAATAGTACTATCAGCTACCAATCAATCAATCAATCAATCAAGTTCATATTAACAAGTATTGAGCAGCCAATAATCACTGCTCTAGTTTTAAAGCAGAGAATCCACTTTAAAAAAATTTTTTTTACATTTATTCATTTTTGAGAGACAGAGACAGAGCACAAGTGGGGCGGGGGGGGGGGGGCAGAGAGAAAGGGAGACACAGAATGTGAAGCAGGCTCCAGGCTCCGAGCTGTCAGCACAGAGCCCAACGCGGGACTCAAACTCACAAACCATGAGATCATGACCTGAGCCAAAGTCAGACACTTAACTGACTGAGCCACCCAAGAGCCCCCAGAGAGTCCACTTTCAAAAAATAATTGGAATAGGGGCACCTGGGTGCCTCAGACAGTTAAGTGTCTGGCTCTTGATTTCGATTCAGGTCATGATCTTGCAGTCACAGGATCCAGCCCCACATGGGGTTCTACGCTGAGCATGAAGCCTGTTTGGGATTCTCTCTCCCTCTCTCTGCCCCTTCCCCACTCACTCATGCACATGCACTCTCTCTCAAAATAAATACAACATTAAAAAATAATAATCAGAAGAGATTTTAAGTATTTTTCCTTATATGCACCATCCAAAACTATAAAATTCACATATCCTCAAGTTTTCTTGTTATCTATAAGAGTAAAGAAGCTTTATACAATGTTACATTATATTACAGTACAAAGATTCATTCAAGATTCCTAACACTTAAGTGAAAGAGATCAGATTTGGGTAACAGACAAAAGAAAACCAACCAATCATCAATGAAGATTTCTAAACAATGAGTAATAATGAGAAACAACAAAGACATCTCTTCACCAACATGAACTATGCTGTTGCACTTAGAAATCTGGAAATTGTTCTGAATTAGGAAGTTGCTGATAGTCTAAAAAGAAAAAAGAAAAAAGAAAAAATACATCACTGAAACCAGTTGGCACATTGAAGGCAAGAAAAAGCTTGTAACTGTAGTGACTTGGAGGCAGAGGGAGGGAAGCAAGAAACATGTAAGAGAAAACTTCAAAAGAGGCATGACACAGATAATCACATATTATGATTCTATGCATATGAATGTCCAGAAGCAAAAAGTCCACAAAGGCCAAAAGTGAATTATTGTTTGCCTAGGGCTGGGGGAATGAATAGTTTGAGGGGTAACAGCTAAAGAGCAAGCGTGGCATTTCTTTTGTGGACGACAAAAATGTTCTAAAATTGATTATGGTGATGGTTGCAAAGCTCTGTGAATGTACACTATACCACTGAATTGTAGGCTTTAAATGAGTGAACTGTATAGTATGTAAATTATGCCTCAATAATTCTGTTACCCCACCCCCAAAAAGAGAGAGAGACAGCGAGAGAGAGAAAGAGAGAGACCTATGAATGTGCTGACAAGCGGAGCACCAAGAGAAGCTACTGCAAGGGAGTAATTCAGTAAGGGAATACAACACTTAAGAAATTGGACACCAGGAGCAGCATCACTACCTCTGATGCCACTAATGCCCATGCTTAAGTTTTTGGTTTTGTTTTTAATGTTTATTTATTTTTGAGACAGAGACAGAGTGTCAACAGGGGAGGGGCAGAGAGAGAGGGAGACACAGAACCTGAAGCAGGCTGCAGGCTCTGAGCTGTCAGCACAGAGCCCGACGCGGGGCTCGAACCCATGAACTGTGAGATCATGACCTGAGCCGAAGTCTGAAGCTCAACCGACTGACCCACCCAGGCACCCCGCCCATGCTTAAGTTTTAATTCTTCGGGCCCACAGAACTCTTTTCTACCCTAGGGCCTTTACATGTACCATGAAATGTGACATCTAATCTACTCTTCATCAGTTGTCTTTTGTTTTGTTTTGTTTTGTTTTGTTTTGTTTTGTTTTGTTTTGTT